GATGTATTTCCGAGTCAATAAGCTGCCTGGGAACTTGAAAATACTACATGGTATATAAGTGTCTAATGCCTTTTGTATTGTCATAAATTTCGCATATTTTAAGCTACTTGAACGTTTCAGTAGTAAATCAAAAGATCTGGAAATAATTTGTTACACTTTCCAGATACTCAAAAGTTTATCGGTAGTTTTGCAACATGCCACTTCAAGCGTTCTAATTTACGGCATCGGAATCAATTTAATATCTGAACCAAGTCTTCCTCTTTGCCATGACCATATTGAGTTTAGCTAGAAGAAAGAGCATCACAAAGCTGGCTAAATCTTTGATGTCTGAACAGAGTGAAATCTGGGGTTTTAATAAATATATGTAGAAGAATCTGCCAGTGGAAGAGTGAGGACTCTGTGGCTGAGGGGCAAATCATTATAGTTGATATCTGTAAACCCATTTTGTAAAGACACAGGTTCGATTCCCACCAAGGTCAGCCAGCTAATCATATTATTGAGTATTGTTAAACTTAATTTTAACAATATTGTAGAGCCCTAAGCTAAATTCTATTCAAAAGCAGAACTTAAATACTTGTTAAATGCGCTCCAATTCTTCCTCAAAATCCCAATTAAAAGAACTTTAAAAAAAAATAAGAAAAAAATTTCAAAACGAGAGATGTAGATGATGATAAACCAAAACGAATCAAGAGAATGACCAATTTGAATTAGTCATTGTTACAGTAGCGTGCAAAAGTGAGTGGACAGAACAAATTTTGTAATAATTTCGTTCAAAAAGTATCTTCCACTAAACGAAATCACTTCAAACTTGTACAGCATATCTAATTTTTGATGAGATTTCATATGCAAAACAAATTTTGTACTATAATTAAGTAATTTGAAAAAACCGTTAAATATTCAAAATCGATAACGTGCAAAAGTGTGTGGACAATTTTCAATGACAAAAAAATGTGTTAATAAATATGTTATGGTAACTTTTTAAGAAGGAAATCTAAAGTTTTAACGATTTTCTTAATTTATGTTCAAAAATATTCCACCAAAACCACGTGTTTTCTCGATTTTTCTTAAATTCAAAATGGCTACTATTTTTCATCACTTTTAAGCAAATATGTCATATAATTCAATCTTAATTAACTTAGACTTAACTGATTTATATAGTATTTTTAATAAGCTTTCAGACTATATATAGTTTATTATAGTAAAAGTTGATATTTTGCAAAAAAATTATAGAAATATTATTTTCATTGTCGATTTTCTCACAGTACAGAACATTAAATTGAGGAAATCTTGATAAATCCTTTGAATATATAAGACTTTTTGGTATTAATTTATTGCATTTTATTTGTCCAACATTATATAAGTAATTTCAGTTTGCTTAAAAAATTATCCATCAAGTAACAAGCTGTCAAATAGTATGTCAATTGAGCTTCTCAAATAATGAAAAATGAATTTTTGAAAAATTTGTTTAAAATGAATGTCTGTTGCAGAAAGTAAATTTTAAATGTTAAATCTTAACATAATTATGCGTTACGAATCAAAACGTTTAAAGTTTTCAAGACAGAAAGTTAATTTTTCAAAAATTTATTTTTCATTATTTGAGAAGCTCAATTGACATACTTTTTGACAGCTTGTTACTTGATGGATAATTTTTTAAGCAAACTGAAATTACTTTTATAATATTGTACAAATAAAATGCAATAAGTTCATACCAAAAAGTCTTATATATTCAAAGTATTTATTAAGATTTCCTCAATTTAATGTTCTGTACTGTGAGAAAATCGACAATGAAAATAATATTTCTATAATTTTTTTGCAAAATATCAACTTTTACTATAATAAACTATGTATATTCTGAAAGCTTATTAAAAATACTATATAAATCAGTTAAGTCTAAGTTAATTAAGATTGAATTATATGACATATTTGCTTAAAAGTGATGAAAAATAGTAGCCATTTTGAATTTAAGAAAATCGAGAAAACACGTGGTTTTGGTGGAAAATTTTTGAACATAAATTAAGAAAATCGTTAAAACTTTAGATTTCCTTCTTAAAAAGTTACCATAACATATTTATTAACACATTTTTTTGTCATTGAAAATTGTCCACACACTTTTGCACGTTATCGATTTTGAATATTTAACGGTTTTTTCAAATTACTTAATTATAGTACAAAATTTGTTTTGCATATGAAATCTCATCAAAAATTAAATATGCTGTGAAAATTTGAAGTGATTTCGTTTAGTGGAAGATACTTTTTGAACGAAATTATTAAAAAATTTGTTCTGTCCACTCACTTTTGAACGCTACTGTATATTCGGCTGCGGCAATGGGCATTAAGTGGATAGATATTGTATTGTACAATAAAGAAAGGAAAAACATTCTTGAGCGCACACATAAAAAAATCTACACAAATGTCTATAAATTTTTTTTTTGTTGTTGTATAACAACATGTTAACAAGTTCATTAACCAATATCGATGATGATTGGGGGAATACGAAAAAAAATTAAACTGGGAAGAGTAGGAAAAAGAAGACAATCAAAATTGACGGGAATCGAAAATAAATTGGCATTCGCAGATAATTATGTAAAAAATTCATTTTTTTAAAATATTCGTGAATTAAAAATAATTTTTGTGTTAATAATTTAATAATTCCTGGGTTGGAGTAGATACAGAGACGAAAGACATTATGCAAATTATGAGGCGACGGTATCTAACAAATGTTCAGAGTTAAAAGGTTCTTTCACATTTCTCTCCGTTTTCATCTGATATTATGCTAATCCGCAAAATGTGAAATTAATAAAATTATACATTTTTTTTGTGTCGTGTGTAACGAACTGGAGCCATGATATATATTTAACGATTTATGACACCTTAATTTTCATTTTATACTGTCTCACATACGTATATCTTCCTACATATCTAACATTATGCATAGAATAGAATTTCACAAAAAAAGAGACTTAATTCGAGTTTGAGAATTTTTTTTTCAACATGCCAAAAATATTTTTTTTATGAGAACAGAAGTAAGGCTCAATGCACGATAAATGGATAGAACTGGATCGAGTTATAGCCTGCATGTGCACATATATAAGAAGATTTATCAGGAATAGAAATAAAACTCCTTTTGTTAACTAAGCGTTAAAGTCTATAGCTATAGTTAATAGTAAAGCATTGAACTATACAAATATACACAATCTTTGATTTAGAGTCGTGAACAAATGACAATAGCACCAGAACTTCATTTATCATTATATCATTTCTCATAGGAAAAAAAAGGCATCTAGTAATAATAATAATAATAGTCAATATAAGTTCATTGATGTGAGCAGTTAATATTTTTTTTTTCGATAGAATTGAAAGGAAAGAAAGAAAAAAAACTTCAATTATTAATGATGAGAAGGAGGAGCAGGCAATACAAAGAGGCCCGAGATGAAGAGTGAGAAGGAGAGCGAGAACTTTTGACTCTTTGTGTTGATTAGGTATTTCAAAAGAAAATAAAAATATATGAAGTAAAAATTTTTAAATACACAATAACATGGAATGTAGGGATTCATGAATATCGTGAAGTAAAATTAAGTGTCGAAAAATGTTTCATTGAAGATTTGGACATTTGAGCTTGACTCTTGACCTGAAGTCATGAAAATTAAATTAATCATTTGAATTGGCATTTTTGGGAAAATAATATTTTGTTGCTTAATGTTCTGTCATTTATTCCTCCTTATTTAATGTGTAATTTAAAGGTGTTTCTAATTTGAATTTTTAATTATAAATTGTGATCAATTGTCAATCAAAAATTCATTAAATATTAGAAAACATGATCAAAATTGATTGAACATGAAGCTTATTTACTTACTTTACTTACCGTGAAAATCAACTGTGATCCATGATCTGCCTAAGCTGCAGTCAATAACTGACTCTTGCTGGTGGACTGTCAATCAAAAAAATAGTGGAACGAAATATAGCTGAACTCTAGTTACATTAAGTAAACTTGACTGGCTCATATTGAAATGTGATTCACACGACATCAAAGTGGATAGAATAGTAAGAGCCAAGCAGCAGTCACATTCACATAAATAACGCTTGTTTTTAAGTATACAATCTGCATGTTGACAACATTCTCGAGTGTGCTGAATACCTTTATTTCTATTTCTAGAATAATAATAACTTCTGATTTAAAAGCGGAATCAATCGACGACATTTAAGGCTAAATCTTTTAATTTTCCCACAAAAGATCTCGTTAAGAACCTTCCACAAAAACCATTCCTTAGAGTAACCACTAATAAATATTTTTATAGTGGCCTCAACTCTTCTAAAATGAAATGAAGCCGTTATTCCCACAAAGCATCAATCATAGGCCTTCACAAATAATGACTTGTTAAAAAAAAGATTATTCTTTTTGGGCAATTATAAAAGCCTTCTATCTCGCGTTATTCCTCATTCTTTGAATGTCATAACTTTTCACTCATTTTTGGCTCTTTATTCATTAAGCGATCGATTGAACGAACCTTAAAGTGTCTATCGATATATCTATCTTTCCGTATACATCGATTAATCGTGTACATGTCTGTGATGTCAAGTAGAAAAAATGCGCAACTAATGGAAGTTAAATTAAAAGGAGAAACACCACATTATTCATGAAATTGGCAACGGTGATGTGAATGTACACACATTCATGAATATATGTTGATTTATTCAACAACATCCTGAAAACATAAACCAAATCGTCTGAAATGATGTGAATAAGGAAAGAGAAATAAAAATAATAATTCATAACTTTTGCTTTTCATTCTGAAACTTTTTATTGCTAATTACGAGGCATCTAATTAAGTAAGAGCAACTACGCACAATATTTTTATTTCTTAGCTACCTCTCGTCTTATTTTTGTTGCTGAAACTGTGTGAAATTAGCGTAGTTCCCTCCGTAATTAGATGCTTTTTTTTTTGTTCCATTCTACTTATGCTTTCATTACTCAATTTTTTTTTCTTTACAATTATCACAGCTATAATTTTTTTTCTCTGCTTACAGGTATGGATTTTTATATAACTTTTTTTTTATACACAAGAAAAATTATATTCACAAACAGAAATGAAAATAATGTAATATTCAAATGAGCAGTGTGGTTTGCTGATTTCTCTACAATTTCTGTTGATCAAAGAGAGAATATTATTTTTTTTTCATTCATTTCTCCACTAAAAAGACTGCTCAAAGGGACGTTTTTCTATATAAAAAAAAGCGCAATTTCTAAATAAACTCGAGTTTATTCATCACGTACGGTACAATTGATAAAGTCCCTCATGACTGTATTGCGTGGTTTATTTATTTGCTGAATTCAACGTGGATAAAAATACAGTCAGTCGATATGAAAAAAAATGTCATTTTGCTGCTAGGCATGGACACTTTTTTTAATTTTGTTATTCTCAAATGTGAGTAGTTACGCCTCTATTTTAAATTGAAAAATGTCCACCCCTCGCATGCTTGCGCTTAAATAAAATTTACATGTTTTTTGCGGACAAAAAAAAATCATTTTTTTAGAGAATTATTCATCAACATACATTCAGTCTTTGAAAATTATGGATTATTCATATATCCCCGTACTTTGAATTAAAAATTACAGGTTTAGAGAGATATCAAATCATCAGTTTTAATAATTAATAATTAGACACAACGTATAATAAGTTGCTGTAGTTCTAATGTCCATTCAACGATGTTTGTTTTTAAAAAATATTATCATATCACGTGGGATATTTAATTATTTTTCCATTTAAATTATTATTATTATTTTTTGTCATTCATTCACTCATATGTTTAAAATATATTGCTTTTCAAGTGATTACAAGTATTTTTTTCATTTTTTATTTATCCTCATTAACTTCTTATTGGATTGTCTGGTTCTCATATTTTACCTCGAAATATTTTTTTTATTCTCTCTTTTTTTCTTGAGCGTCATGAAATTGCAAAAGAAATTTGATTTTACGGATCATTTGGCTGATTTCATCAGTGCTGAGTTGCTGATTTTTTTTTTTTTTTATCAAAACTTCTTAGTAGTCAAAAATCATCACAATTTCATTACGTTCTGAAAACTCATTCGAAAGATTTTTGTAGACTTTTTAAGAACTTTCATCACATCATTTAAAGGTACAACATTGACAGCAATAAACGTTGCTTTTTTTGGTTAATAAAAATCATTTTTATACATGAACCCATCACATGTTGCATAAATCGACCATAAATTTAGAAATTTGATGGAAATCTCTTAAAAATTCACAAAATTCTCTCGAATGTCCATTCTTTAAGTTATTCAATAAAATTGATTAGATAACGAACGAACGACGATTCTTTTTTTCACTACAAAATTTTTTTTCATTAATTCACTGACTACTTGCTTACTATAAATATTATTACTTTTTTTAATTACGATAGAATTTTTTAATGGTTTTACTTTGCTTTTGTTACAATCATTGAAGACATATCCTCAGGACAACAAGTAGAAATATGAGTGGCGATAAGACATTCCGACTCGAGCTGCTACTTAATTCTAGTGAGTATGTAGGCGAGTGACGCGTTACTTTTATTTTTTCATTGTCACTAATCGAATTTTCATCGCCATCAATGTCATTTGACTGGGTATTAGGCTGATGTTTGTAAATTGAATTTGTTTTTAAATCATGATAAGGGCATGATGAGTCTAATGCTGTATATGGCTTTATTATGTTTGCTGGAGTGCCAGAGACCTGTGAAGTGCACAAAAATAGAGATAGAAAATTGAGGATTAGTGCGGATAAAAATTGGAAATTGAATTTCGACCAACACAATATGTCATTGTGAGTGGAAATGCAATAATAATTATATGTTGGGTAAACTTACTCGACTAGAAACAACTGCACTATTGCAAATTCCATCAAACTGTGATGTTTTTATGATCCTATCAAATGTATCATACTCATTTCTCCAATCGTAGAGCTGTAAATGTCGCTCGAGTGTTCGACCGGCATATTTTTCAGGACTTTTTATCATCGGTTGATCGCCGGATTTCCTGATGTTAAAAAAAGCAGAAAAAATTATTAATATGAGAATTTCGTGACTGAATTTACGGTAGACTTACGATAACTTTTCAATTCCTAATGCCTTCAAAAGATGTGCAACATTTGTCTGTGAATTACATGATACAAGTTGATCCTGACGAGGATAATACATCAATGTCGCACTACAAATCTCTTCATCAACGGAATCTCCGCCCAATGTGAATTGTTCTCGTTCGTATGTATTATAAGTACATTCTACAGTTACGTGATCGCCGGGAAACAATTTACTAACTCTATTAAAAATTCGATTTTCGAGATAGTCTGCATTTAAGTTTGACTCTTGAGCAATTGGTGCTAGCTCTTCTCCGTTTCGCACCAAACTAATTTTCATTTTTCGTCCCAAACTATGCGTTTGCATATTCACGCCAAATATGTTTATGCCTTCGGCTGGCAATGCTTTTTGTGTACAATTTGACGTACAATGACCAACAGAGATAACTCTTTTAAATCCTGGAGCTATGATATGCAAAAAGTTTGGCTCTATTCCTATTTGTAATGATCCAGCATCATATTTTCTGCGATTTCTCGTGTGATATATTCTAAAGCCGGAACTATCATCTAATTGCTTCTTATAAATTGGTTGATAATGTACTTCTAATAGTAGACTATCGATGCTATTCGAATCGAGAAGATAGCCGACGTCTTTAGGGAATGTGAAGCCTTCCGAACCGCGACTCCATGTGGCAACGACTGTAAAACACTTACGTGCGCCTTTAATTCCCTCATTGCATTCTTCATCATCGTCCGATTGAAGATTTATGGCCGATGTTCTGCACTCATATAGCTTCATTGATGTGATGAACTTTTGTGATTCGGGCGATGAGAAAACAGGTTCGTAACGTATAATATGATTCTCTGTTATATTTCTCAGTCGATGAATACGGCACCATTTAAGCATCTTTGATGGTGTCAAAGGAATTCTAACATTTTTATTTCTAACTTCTAACGTACTAATTCCTGCTTCTTTACTCGACCTACTTTGTTGACTCCTCTGTAATAGGAGAAGTGATTTTACGGGCTGCATTGCCATAACTGGATCTGACAGGCTGCCTTTCTTAATTTGACCTCGCTTTGGTTTCTCCGGATGATACAAATAAATTATGTTCATCGTATCATTCTGTGGATGAGATAGAGAGAGAGAGAAAATAGAGAATGGTAAATTGAAAATGAGAAACAATTAACAGGAATTTCACTTGTCACAAAAGTTTAGTAAATGATGATTATTCCCAACAACAGAATTTTTTTTTCCTTCTCTCCCATTTATTTATCTATCTAGATTTATGTCTAAGTCTTTAGCATTTAGAATTAATTGGCACTATATATATTCTCCAACGTACTGCTTGTGTCTGTGTTGTTGTGTAGTAATGAGTGTGAGTCATAAAATATGCTGCTGAGTATTTCTTTCCCTTAAGCAACATTCACATTTTTGTATTGTATATGCGACAGCCAGCATTTCCTCCCATGTAAGTTCTCATATATATTATATTTTTTTTTTTCTTTCTTTATTTTCTTATTCAATGTAATTAGGCAACAAACACAGGCAATATATCATATTTTTTATTATTCATTACTCGTCAATCTGCCATGACCATTTCTTATTTCCCCTTTATGCATTATATTCGCATGTTCAGTCATACGAGCAGCACTTTTAACGCATAATTGTCTAAACAAATGTGCCTATATACTTTATCTGACAGTCTGAATATGAAATTCGCTATAGGTTGAATTATTTTTTTTTTTTTGAAAGTCATTAGATAATTGACTTCTTTCTTTCTAGTCCAGGGTTGTAGTCTGTGCCGTAGTGAGGAAGGAGTAGTCTCCAAAAAACTTACTCACGCTGAGAAATTTCTGAAAGTTCAATTATTTTTTTCATCGACTTCCCCTTCCCCTGTCTCTAGTCATTACTTAATCCATAACAAATGCCTTCTTTTATGGTAAATAAGAGTGCAAATTACAAAGTTTGAGTGCGCATTAATAATTCATGATACATGACTTCTTTACTTCTTTTAATAACTTTTTGTTTTGCTTCTAACAGTCAGTCAGCTCAAAGTAAGAGGGAATTGAATATAAAGGAATGTTATATGCTTAATACCATTTATTCATATCTCTCATTCATTTTCTTTTTCGGATTGCATGCAGAAAACACATTTGAGGCTTTCATATCATATGAATGTGCTGTTAATATTGAGTGAAAAATTAATTTATTATTAAAAATTACAACTCGTTTCAGAATACTTGACGCAAATGGAGAAGTGAAGACCGAAATAAGAAAGAGAAGTACTCAATTGACTGACTTGAAAATTTCTCTATCTTGCCTTTATTTGCAAGCATTGTATAATATACTTTAGATTGCAAGGCAGAAAAGCAATTTAGCTTGACATTAAAGAAGAAAAAGAGACAGAAAAGAGATTGTAAATATTTTATATAAACGGTGTAGAATAAGTAGTACACACATAATATAAGAATATAGAAGAATTATAAGAATGGGAAAGAAATAAAAGGAGTGAGAAAGACGAGACGAAAAGAGAACATCGTCAACAGCAGCAACAGCAGCAGTAGAATTAAAAGAAGTATTACAAAATGAGAAAAAATTACTTTTGTTTCATCCATAATGGGACGTTCTTAAATTACGTGAATCTGAAGCTGTATGGCACTTCATGAATAATTACCACATGATTATAGAGCATGCAGGTGTGGTGTCTTAGAAGAGAGGAATGTCGATTGATCTATAAAATAAGTGAGATTTCTGTGGCCAAGTAGGTTAACAACAGATCGGATATTTGAAAATCTCTATTGTAAAGGTTTGAGTTCGATTCCCACCAGAGACCGATCTCTCAATCATTACAGCGGATCAATTTTTATAAAAACCTCATTTATGAAAAACACTTAGCAACAATTGCAACTTAAGTATATAGAATGTGGAATTAAGAAGCTTCTGTTAGAAGAAATGTAATCAGGCAATTTAAAATCCGGGGATGATGATGATGATGAAGTAAAAGAGCAAGCAAATAAGCGAATGCGAAGACAAAAAATAAAGGAAGAGAGCTGCACTGCAGAAATTACAAGCTTGATGCTGATTGAAAAATTAAAGGCAAATTGAAATAAAAAATTTACTGCAAAAATCGCTACAAGCCGTTCTCAATTGCTTCAACATTAATCTAAACTTTCAAATCTGTCAGGTTCGTTTAGCGCGATCAGGGAGTATAATTAACTATCTAGACACAATAACAACAACAGCAATAATACGAAAAAACAGTTTATGTGTGTCTCTTGAGCCATAAAATATGTTGATTAAATGCGTTAAAGATAAATTAGTGCTGTAATGGGAAAAATATGGGTTTGAGATCGCTCATTGGATATATTAAATGGCATTTAGTGTTGTGAAACGACTGCAGGTGCTTATTAAACATTTTTTTTTATTTTTCGTTGTTTTGTCTCTTGTTCATTCATATTGTAATATTTTAGACATTGCATGAAAAATGGCTTAGCTTCTTCAAACTTTACACATTCAAGAAAAAAAATGTAGAATTACGAGGTTTTTTTTGGGAAGAAGGAAGGCGATAGACGAAGGTTTAAAAAGAAAGTTTCAAAAAAAAAACGATAACACAAAATGAAAATTAACATTATAAATTTACGCTTCGCTGGATATATGACATAAAGCAGCAGAGAGATAAAAAAAGGGAAGCATTTTTATTCGGTAATGTTGAAGCGATATAATTTTTGTGTATATACGTTTGTTATGTTAATGAATATGTTAATGCCACACTCTTATCAATTTTTTTTTTCGGTAAACATATTTTGTAAAATGGCATTTTATGTCTGTCGCCCTCCCAAAAATTTAAATTGTCTTTGTTGTCGTGTCAAGTACAAATTTACATGTCATTAAAATTAGGTACTTAAGCTAAAGCACTTACCGTGATAGGAACATCAAATTTTTCGTCGCATGTATCAAGCTTCCGACGAAATCTTAATATTGTATGTGTAGCATTCTCGCTACTTTTTAGTAGTACATAATCTTGTGACTGGTCTGGCACTGGTTCACCAGTTGCACTGTGTGTTTTTATATGACAATCCTATAGAAAGAACAAGAAAGAGGAAAAAGAATTAATAAATATACCAACTGCATTCTCCCACAAACAATAACAATAATGGAGAAAAAAATACTAGATGAAAGAAACGCGAGCTACTGCCTGAAACATTCCGCACAATAAATCTTTCAACGCTAATGAAACTCATATTTAAGAACTTGGGAAAAATATATATTGTATTTTATTTTATTTTTGTGGATATGAAGGAAGAATGTTTCGGAGAAATTTCCTTCACTTCATTGCCAGATGAGAGTTACACAGCATCACACTAGACGTAATCAAAAATAATTGTATGGAAGAAGAACATTTGAGGAATGTTGTGATTTATTTGGTTTGATAGGGTGACTAGGAATCATGATTTTGGAGATACTGAGTTCCCAAGAACTTCGGAAGAAGTGTTTTAAGATCTCAAATTCATTGAAGCTTCCAAATTAGGCCTTACGCATCAGGAGCTATGGATCTGATTAGTATGAAGTTGTGTGACAGTTAAATTGCCATGACATAAACTTCTGGCCCATAAGAGTGTCATGATTTGCAAACAATCTCAAGTAAAGCACCCAAAATGCAACCAGTAACTCCAAAAATCATTTTAAAGTAAACACGAGAAAAACAACCGAAAAAAGAAAAGCAAAGAAATTATTTTTAATAATTTTTCTTTCACTCAAATAATAACACAGAAGAATGATATTTATACCAATTCATGGCTGCAACAAATTACTTTTGTTCACCAAAGCATAATTGACCAATTAATTTTAGTGAAACTGGAGCTTGGACGTATATATGAATTACTTCATAATTGGATAATAGGGGAGGGCTTCATTCCCTTCTTCTCACTTATTACAGTATGAAGTTAACATGAACAATACGAAGAGCTTCTTATAAGAACTTATAAAGATTTTAAATTTCAAGTTGAACTGTTTCTCATAAGCAACAATGTGGAAACGATATAATTAAAAGCATAAGCGCTTGGCTTAAGTTCTATACGCTCCATTTAAAAATGAAAGGAATGAAATATTACATGACTTGCTGTTTTTTTCACTTTTGTATTATTTAGTTCTGTTTCAAAGTCCAAAATCAATACACTATTCTTGCCTTTATAACCTTGCATTTTAAAAGCCGGGTCTTTGCATTGCCTGTGAAGGCTTTAAATATGTAAATAAAATTCCATTATGTTCACGTTATCTAGACGTTATAGTGTGATATTTCAATGCATAATTTAATAGAAATAGCTTTGTAGCTATATAGTAAAAAAAAATATTAAAATCTACGGTGTTGCATTTTTATGCATTCAAATATATTTTTTACACTCAAATAGTATCGTCATGAATAAGCTTTCGCGAGATATTTGGGGTTGTTCATAAATGACGTCTATTCTCCTTCTCTGTGACATTTTGCATGAGAGTGCCACACAGTGATAGACTCCACAAGTTGCTCATCATTTACGAATGACCCCATGTTCATGCATTTTTTTAAAACGACAACGAATCTGGAGAAGAAAATCACAACACATAGTTCTTAAATTATGAGTAACATGGAAAGCGAAAAAAAAAACACTCCATTATTCATTTTGCTTGTCGTTATTTCCTTTAGCTTCTGCAAATATTTTCCATTGTTTTTTTTTTTTACTTTTCGAGAAAGGAAAAATTGAAATTTTAATATTCTCCCTATTGTTCTTCTCTCCTTCCTTCAAAGCTTCTCGATAATCATAAATTTATGAATTCACAATGGATCTCAATATAACATGAACATGAAATTTACTTTTGCTTATTGCATGTGCATATGAAGCATGCACATCGTCTGTGTCGCCATTTTAATAGCAATGCATAAGTAGCAATCATTTTTTTCAGAACCGGCGAAAGAAGCTCTTGGAAGGGAAACAACAGAAGTTGTTATTAACATTTGAAAAATGAAATTGAAAAAAAATTCTTCAGGCGTTTCGTCGTTTCCTTTTCTTTCCATCGTCTCATCGCGAGTTGTGCAATTTTTGAGAAATTAATATAATTTATGCAGTGACTGTAATTTAATATTCATTATGAGACTTACATGATAAAATGTATGGGCATCGTCAATCCATCCAATGAACACATCAGCACCATAAATTGTTCCATCACGTGAAAATCCAAATCCTACATATCCATGCGTCCTTACTCTCGCTTCAAATATGATATCTGTGTCTTTTACTGTCCATAGTAATTGGTAATTTTGATCCAAATCAACAACATGATCCCATGCCTGTTGTGCATGGCATTTTGTAATTAAAAACAACACTATCACTATCTCAATTAATTTTTTACGAGGCACATTGTATGCTTGTCGTGCCATTTTGTAAAGTAAACGATGCAACATATTCACAAAGCAGCATCAAAAATGTTTTTTGTGTGTATTTCTATCCTGTCACTCGCTATCTCTATGGATAGATGTATTACTCCCCGAAAATGTGTAATACTATATACCCTGTAATGACGAGACAATGTCTGATGATGATGATATAAACTCAAAGGTCCGAGTTCATTTCAATTAAAATATCGTATATGTATATGCGGATGTGAAGAATGATGACAAGTCTCTTGAGTTGGATTATCTGTTGTAGTTTTCTGTAAAGAAATAATAAAAAAAAAGTTTTTAATTAATTTCGTTATCCACAATGTAAACTTTAAAATTTGCATTGCAAATGTCAAGAATCCTTCTCTTATTATTTTTAATTTGAATTTTCTCTCGACTCATTTTTTTTCTCCTTTACCATCAAGGACCATTATCTCTCGTACTGTCTATGAGCAAAAAAAAGGGAACTTTACTACTAAATCGCATTCATTTATTTCTTCAAAAAGAACTTATTTTTTTGCGAGGATGAAGACGAGATTCCCCATTGTACAATGATTATGCAATTTCATTCTCTCCAAAAAAAAACTTTTCCATTTCACCTTTCATCCTCTCATCGTAGATATATAAAATATATAATTTCACATTCTACATTAATAGAACTTTTCATCGCCTCGATTTTGCCTTATAGTCAATTGGGGATTTCTAGGCACTAGCAACGACAACTATAACATTACTTTTGAATCAAGAAGAAAGGACACATAAAAAGGAGAGCAGAAGGATGGCACACATAGGAGTGGATAGAAAAAAAAATATCTATAGATTGACCAGATGTTCTTAGTACAAAAATCAAACAATAGATCGAAAGATTTTTTTTATGTAAATCTGGCAACATTGCAACTTAAAAGTTATTGCAAAGTTACAAACCATTTCTCATCGATTTAATGGATTTTTCATCCTCACCCAAAGTTTTTCTTCTGCTTTTCTTTCCTTTCTTGGCTTTTTTTTGTGCTCTATATGGATGGATGGGGGGAGGTTTAGTGTATTTTGAAGATTTAACTCTAAACTTTTCTTCTCCTCTCAATTCTTAAATCTCCTCCATCAATGGAATTTCAGTAACAAAAAGGACTCAATAAAGTGGATTACGATCAGAGCGAGAGAGAAAGAGAAGGAGAGATGTAAAAATAGACTAGGAGTGAGGATTTCAAAAGGCGATTTGGTTCGACGAGAATTTAGAAGAATGAATCTCTTCACAATCCAAATTCTGCATTATTATGACACGTATTTATGGCATTTTCTATTCTCCATTCCTTTTTTTTTCCTCCATTCCATCTTCAGTTTTATTGTTTATTTATTCAATCAAATGGTTGATTGTTAAAATTTATTGTCCTATTGTTCATGAATAAATTCTATCTCATCTATCTGTGAATTTTATATACATTTATGTGTGGTATGAATAGACATCATCCCATATATACCGAAAAAAATGAAATAATGTAGTAAGAGTGGATGTGCATGTATGAATAGGAATTGATGGACATGCAAACAATTGTATGTATAAGGGATGATGTTATTCCAATGTAATAACTACGAAAGGTAAGTAAGACTGAATGTAATCGTGTATAATGTATGTTTGTACACTTGCTAATAATAATAATAATAATCTATAGACTCTAAAAGTTATTATACTAATCTACTTATCAATTATCGATTGTAAGGTATCAATAGTAAGTAAGTCTAATAATGAAACAACTATTTTTGCATGATATGAATTTCATGTGACATTCGACCGAACAACACACATTGAAATGAAGTCTACACAAGGTTATAGTAAGTTCCAGTCATTTTTTAGTAGAGTCACTTGATTTTAAGTATGATACGCACTTGATTGTACTATGGACATGTATGTCTATCGGGTCGTTCGCCTGTGCAATCTAAATAATTTTGGAATAAAATATTAAAATCATTTCCTATTACTTCATGTTCGTCGTACCATAGAAAATTTGTCATGAAACTGGAAATTTCTCCATTCAGTTTGACATTGGCTTAATTCTGGGATATTCTTGAACATTTCCATTGAAGACATTGACAAACAATCAATGACATCATGAAATTAATTAAAATTCGTTCCAAATGCGCTCTGATACGAGGCATGTCTCACATTCAATTGTGCAATACCAGGATGGATACATAAATTGGACAGCAACATGAAAGCGGGAAATGTACATTTTATAGAATAAAATTATAGAACTAATAAAATATTAGTGAATATATTAAATTTTTGTTTGCATTACAACATTTTCTGGAACGAGATGCTATAGCATAAATGTTGAACGGAAAATTCACATTTATTAACAAACAAAACCATCAAAAATTGAATTGAAATCCATGAAAAATAAATTGGCTTAATTCAAATTCTGCTTTTTTTCGATTTCCTCTCTTTTCACAACTATCGACATTACATTTAAATGTAAAAATTGGATATTAGAATTGTTTGACTATAGGGATTTTATTTATAATGGTATCATTGCATGAAATGCTTTATTCTATGCGCTAGGATTGATTCTATTGCTTTCTTTCTAGGTTAATGAAAAAACCAATTTTTTTAAAAAGGAGAAAAGAATGAAAAATTTGAAATGTCTTTTAATACTTCAGCAATTTAGAGCGATTTATTATGGCGTTCCTTAAAAATATATAAATGTGTACAGTACAAGAATGTTGAAGAAAAATGAATTGCCATTGAATGAAAGAATAATAGGTGGGAGTATATGTATAAGCACAACGAAGGTGTCTGAAAAATTGTCATTTACTTTAGCGGAGAAAATTCATTTCCCAAAGTGCTCACTTCTTTGGTGTGTGAGAGCTTACTGAATATTTTAAATATTTCACACGCTTTTCTTAATATCGATTTAATTCTACATACAGGAATTTCACATCTCCCCCAACCATCCACTTCATTCACTCTTACTCTATCTCCTTAAAGCAATGCGCATTCAGCACATTTTCACGTTTAGATATGTGTATATATATTTTTTTTATTATATGCAGTAAAATATGTAGTATGAGAAGTACTTTTCATACCTTCACAACTCACGGATAAAAAGAGAGTCTACCTTCATCATCCGAAAAATCTTGTTCATTTTTGCCTCACTACCACCCAATCCACTGTTCACATTCATCTCTATCGTTCTCATTATAATCGCATTTTATCAAAAAAAAAAAGAGAAAAAAAAGTTCTGTATGACAACATCAGCTCGACGTGTGAATCTTCATTTTAATTATACATAACTCTGTCGTGTGAACGTGTTTCATAGCATTTTCGATGCTTACATAATATTATCAAGCGGCAATTTCATTAGACTGCTTTTTCATTTCGATATAAAAAAAATTATTCCTACTTCTTATTTTTCGTTTGAAGAATTTTCCGCCATACGCTTTAATGCCATTTTCGCGTAAGCTTTATTTAAACGAGAGACGACAACGATGATATTTCTCACTTTGTGTTTCTTTTTTTCCCTCGTCTCTTTCCTTCACTCACTCACCTTCGATGTTGGGCTGACGTCGTTTGGTACTTGGTATTTATTCAGTGGCGCAAATGTAATTACAACAAAGTTTCTTATCAACAAAGACATACACAAACGCAAAAAAAAAGGGAAGCGTATACACGGTTATTTGACAAATGTTGAAAGTGTACTTATGCTTAAAAGCATTTTTGAGTTCCATTTTCTACGTTTCATTGCTGAAAAAAGCATCTGCAAGTGTTTTTGAAATGCTTTAAGGGGATTTTTTGCTTATGACGTTCCATCGAAAAATTGAAGCTCCAGACTATGGCCTTCCTCATTTGTCGCCTAAAAATGGCTCTGTTGCTGGCTATCGCTGGACAATTTCTTTTACCAAATGCAATACTCTCAGACTTTTTCAAGACCCTCTTAACCTTACAAAATGGATGCTATAGGAACTGACAAAAATTATTAAAAATCAGTTTGTCAGTTCCAAACCCACGAGACCCAATAAGCAAATGAACCCCAAATAAAAAGAAATATTTTTTTTCCTGACTCTCCTTCTTCTTTCTGTGACATATTTGTGGAAAAAGAGTACAGAGCGAAATAAAATGCAATTTTTTATGAGAAAAAGAAATCTGAACTTGAAAGAAGAATTTTATTCTTTCCCATTAAACCTTTTCATATACTAGCATAGTTTATGTCTAAATGGAGAATATATATATTCGTTTTATTGTACAACTTTTTTTTTTTTCGTAGGGATTCTGAAGTTTGTGTCATATCAAGACTCGTGAGAAATGTGCAGTTTTTTTTTTGAAGGGGTTATTTAATAGATTGACATTATATTCTTGTGTTAAGGATACATTGTTAAGGAAATTCTCAAGAGTTATTCTAGGGAACCCCAGAACGTTACCGATTATGATTAATTTAATATTTATAATAAATCAGGATGTATCCATGGAAATTCAATCCCCGGGACTATTCATTCGAAACCTCTAGTTGAGTATAGGAAGTTTATGGCAAGACCCCTTACTATATTTATAACTACCGCTGCCACAAATAAAAATATCATATTTCGCCAGACTATTCCAAAGAATTAAACAATATATTTCATGTCAATTTATTGTGATTCACTCAAAAACTGCACCTGAGTTTATGGTTGAAAAATATTAAATTGAATTTCTATTCTTGTTTTGAGCGACGGGGGTATTTGGAAAAAATAAATATTGCTTTCATTTCGAATTAATTTCAATTGAAATTCAATTTCCATTATGGAATAGAAGCTATAGTAGAATGGAATAGAAGACAGAACATTTAAAAATGCTAATTTAAACAACATAAAGGAAATTGACCACATAAATTTATATTTGTTATGAAATTATTTACATAAAACACTTCATGTGCATTTTAAAAACTCATCATAGCTTGAAATGACAAACACTCAGTTATGCTTTTGTGCCTTTTAGTATGTCTTGCTTGCTTGTTTCATTATTATAATGGCAGCAGCAATAACAACAATCAACGATGAAGAAAAGGAGTAAGTGAGCAAGAGAGTGTAAGAATATGTGAGAAAAGAGTAAGAGAGAGTACAGCAGCAACTTTATTTTTTTTTTTATTTTGAGAATGAAAATGTTTACATTTGCTATCCATGCCACACATGTCAAATAATGGCTTGAAAAAAAATGCTTTCAACTCTTTCATTTTCGGAATGAGTTATATGGGAAGTATGGGAAGCAGATTACTAACTCTTTTGGCATTACAATACAGCTTTGTTT